AACCTTCTCGTGTGACAGGGGTATTATACCGTCTCACTGCAATTGCTTCAGGGGCGCAACTTTCAAGGTTGCTGGCCCACCGAAGTTGTACAAGGGGCGCTATTTCAAACACCCTCAAAATTACCCATATTCTTGTAATTACCCGACATTTTGTCGGGACACATGGGTCTGCGGCAGCCTAATCTTGTCGTTTCAAAACGGTCACGTCACTTCAGAATTCGGCAGTGTAGCGGAAACTCGCCCACAGCGATTCTCACAGACAGCGTCGACAGTCTGAACGCGCCGCGGCACTCAACACAAATCGCGCGTTTCTCGTTACGCGAACGTTTCGGTTCCGTTTATAGTTAATAGCAACTGCCGTATGTCGAGCACGCGCGCTCTGCGTTACAATGGAGCATCGGCGGACGCGCATCATTGATAGATTGAGCAGAACCGATTGGGTGATGAATTTTCCCTCCCGTGAGTCACGGTCTCCTATAGAGCTCCGTAAGGTCACGTGGTCGTGACGTTGGAGGAAACGGTGGTCGCGCTGTTCAAGACGCAACTCTTCATCGGACGAAACTTGTGCCCAGGAATCGAAAAGTCAGCGCAGCAGCTGTACACACTGCAACAACACTCTACAGCAATGCAACACTGATGGCGGCGATCATGCACAGTGGTCGGTAACCTGTTAGTCAGTGGAAAGCCTCTGCTTTTATAGGGCGTGTGCACCGACGTCATTGCGGCCGCCATCTTGTTGTACAAAACACACAGTAAAAAATGGGACTTTTTTTTTCTATCTTGGTGCGCTTATCTCCAGAACAGCGAAGCTGGGAATTGTAAACAAAATGATGCAGAATGACGTCACGTGAACCCCCCTCACGCCATACACGCCTGATTGAATCTTCCAGCATTATCGCTGGTGTTCGTGTTAGGTCCAGAATAAACCCCGGGCTTCTCTCGACTTGCTCGGAATCTTGACAGAACAGCCTCAAACAATCGTGAAGTTTCTCCAGAATTAGGGCGCAGTTTGCGCCAAGCGGTCGTTCTATACGTGTAATATAGACCGGCCGGTGTGACGAAAATACGAAAGGCATCGTGCGTGCATGGCGGACGAAGACACGGTTTGCGTGGTCGTGCCGTGATCGGTCATGCTGAAAAGCATGCCTTCCGTGAGCGATCATTGCTGTTTACGGCCAGGCTGCTGCCGGGACGCGTGGTGCCGAGCCCGATAGAGCAGCTGCTGCATGCGTACTCGAACGCTTCCTTGAACTTCATCGCCCCTCCTTCTCTCTTATTCGCTTTGAGCTGCGCACCCCCCCCCCCCCCCCCCGCTTTTTTTTTGTTCCTTTTTTTTCTTTTCGCCTTTGAAGAGCGATCACCGCGAACGGTCAGCAGCCGCGTATACGTTTTGCGTTGTCTCGAGGTGCCTCTCGCGTCGGTCAAAGGTGCCGCGCTGATGGAGACTTCCGCCACGGAAATGGGCGTCTTTCTTTTTCCATCATTTCCCCTGCTTTCTCTTTTCCCATTATAACTCCTCCGTGTCCTTAATTCTTTCTGATTTCTTTAGCTAGCCTCTTTATTTTAGCCCCCGTTCTTTCCTTCTACAATGTTGGCACGCGGAAAAAGGCGTATATGTATATACACTGCAGAATAGATTGGGTATGGATTTAATTAAACTTTCCTCGACTCGTGTTGCAGGACAATTACTTTGTTGATTCAACGTTCCTTTCGTACTATACTCCAGTCTCTGTTTCTCTTTTTTTGTCGCATACATCGTCTTAGATTGAATCTATATATGCTCAGTTTCTTTTCCTATCTATATCTCTATATAGTCTCAGTTCCTTTTCTTATCTCCTACATACAGTGATACCCCGTTATTCGAACATGTATGTTATTCTTCGTACGCCCCGCGACGTTTATGGCGAAAGGAAACTTTACACGTGCGCACTTTTTCCGGACGGAAAGACGAATCGATTTTATAACTGACACCGCTTCGACTGCACAAACGATGCCATTCGCGGAAACAATTCCCGCGGGGGCGCTCGGCACCGAAATAGCCGAATTTCCTTCATCGCCTCGCGTCAACGCTATGTATATCTACCGGCACGTCGAATTTGTTTTTTTTTTCGTGCGTTTATATTGTTATTCTTACCCGACCCGGGGACCCAGCCGTTTTCGCCTGTCGACTCGAGTTCTCGATTTGTACGGCGCTTCTTCGTTGGCACGTGCAGCTCGGCTCCTCCGCGGAGCTTTCCGTACGGAGCGCGCGTTGCGCATGGCATCCGTCAAGTACACACGATAGCGGGCCCCTGTTCGAGTAGGGCACGAAAATAACGTGCGTCATATGTGCCGTATCACGCGGCCGACGCATTCGCCACTATAGAGTAAGGGAGCGTTATAGTGGCCGGAATGTTTATCGCACCTTGCCAGCCGCGAGGCATTCGGTTCGCTCTTCTATATACGTGTGTATACACTGCTAGTATATAGGCCCAAAGCCGTCGGTAGTCGATCGAGGAATCCGAGCTACGCGAGCTGCCGTCTCTATAATTGTTTCCTCTGTTCACGTCGTTCAGAAAACTTGTTGATCTTACCGAATCGCTTGAGGATCATGGAACTATAATATAAATGTTATATCTCTCATTTGCCCTTGGCACGTTGCTGATTCATAAAATACGTAAGACTTAAGCCAGTCTTGATTCGCTGCCTCAGCGGCTACATTCCCCTTTTGTTTATATAGAGGTAGAGCCATCTATCATGCCGTATATTTTGCGCGATATATCCATTATCTAGTTCGTTCCCAACGACAGTGCCTTCGTGCTCCGTTATCTTATCAGCTACGTCCGCAAACAGATAAGCACAATAACGAGGAAACATACTGACGAGATGTGCATATTTAACTCTTTTTTTCTTTTCAGTGACTGACACTGAGTATTCCTATGTTGTTCGTCTGTTCACTTAAATAGTCATTTGGCTTGAGTGATTTGGCTCTCACAAGTCTTTTAGTGCGTTTCTCCGTCCTCAGTTCTGTATGCCACTGGCAAATGCCTATGTATGCACGGTGGCTTAAGCGCAGTGTCTCTTCTCGCTTGGGAACCGATCACGCTCACAAGGGCTACAGTAGCAGAAACCGCTGTGCATGATTCGACGTCCCAAGTGTTTTTGAAGCACTGTCGTTGTCACACCCTCACTACGAAAACATCAACAACAAAAAAAAAGAAAAGAGCCGATAGTTGGGCGTGAACGCGTAGCGAGATTCATTCGCCAGTTGCTTCCTGTTTGCGGCGCTTCTCGGGATGGCTCGCGTGCGTGCAAGCAAATACTTGCGCGTATATGTGGTCTGGCGTTCTGCGCGCCCTCTGCGGCACCCTGCCCGAAATGGGACTGTGTATTTGCGCGTGCGGCGAGTTCCCGCGCGGCGTTCTCTGCGGAGCGAGCGCAGTTATTCCTGGCGGCTCCGACGGGGAGCATTCGACTCCCCAGGTCGTCGTCTAACATCCACGCGTACATTCCCACCAGGAAACGGCGAAAGCGCTCCAAACGCCCACATGGCGCGTTATTTCGAAATGGCATACAACGCACGTTGTTGCATCGTATACGTCGTTTTCTGGGGACCACATGCAGTCTCGCGTCAGGATGGGAAAGTTCACGGAGCAAACTGGCGCCCTCGAAATTCAGAATCCCTGCAGGGAAAGAGATGGAAACTCGGTTGTGAGAACGCATATATTGTCTGCGAGTCTTTGTTGGGACTTTTGTGTATGTATCTAAAGGATCGTCTGCGTCGCACTCTCAATGTTGCCTTGGCGATATACGAGTTGCCAACCTGACCTTTTTAGAAAGAGTTTGCTGCGACATTGAGCGCGAGTGCTTGTGCTCTTTTTTCCTTACTCAGCGGCAGTTCTCAATTAAATCACATTCTTGCATTGACTCGCTTCTCAAAGAGCAAACGCGCGGGGATTACAACCCGAGTTCCAGGCAAAGTTTTTGTATGGGGTGGTGGAGGAATCGATTATTGCATTTGCATACACCTCATATATGACTGGCTTACTTTGCCCGCATACGATGCTTTGGACCATGTTTGAGAACTTTTTTTTTATTAGGAGTTAATTCGCTGACATTTTGCCTCGCCAGTGCGTCGGTTGACGAGCACGTCTGACGCCCGTTCTACACGATGCGATTTTAAAAAAATGCGAGTCGACGTGCGCTGTTTTTTCTCCTAACGAGGCCGTGTAACGAGGTGCTGAGAATCGTTGCCGTCGTTAGCGTGTGCGAAAATCGGCTGGCAGATAAAATAAAAGAGAGAAGTTGGCTGCGGCCTTCCTTTCTCCAGGAAAAATGAGCACATTTGCTTCGCCGCCTAGCCACTACTGAGGTATAATTTGCGCGTTGGTGGAGGCAGTGGCACCTGGATTTCTTCGCGATCCACGGCAAAATGAGGGGCCCCGCTAAGTGGGCAAGCTAATGGGGGAGAGGGCTTCGGTATGCCCGTCAGTACTTGCGCTCGCGAGACAGATTCGACGAAGGTAACCAAGTTGCTCTGAGTGGTTCAGGGGTTCTGATGACGTATAGGGCCACTCTATGCGGTGAGAACCTTTGAACCGTGCAGGTATACTGCTACTCCCACGCCGGTTGAGGCAGCGTTGGCAGACAACAGCAAAACAGTAACCTTAGAAAGTGCGCCTTTTTACGAGCATCATGGTTATAGACTTATCACGCCCAAAGTGCAGCAGCAGTGTAGGCAACATGTCGGCACGTCGCAATGAACCACATAACGCTACATGTGCCATCTTGTAGCATAGGGGACGGTAAATCAGCCGCTATTTGCGCTTTGGTTCAACACATGCATTACTGAGGCTGTATACCTTGCACGTGATGAGTTGGATTCGTTTAGAGGTGTCTTGTCTTCATGGTTTAAATAGTTTAGTTCGACCTGCCTCCGCCAACTGATACGAAACGGTGTCGATCGAGACTCACTGACGGATGTTCTTTATACGTCTTGCCTATTTGTTCATATTCCGCAGGTGTTGGTGCGCGAGCTTCTGTCGGACTACCTGTGCCGCTTCTCGTGCCTGGTGGGCAACCTGGTGAGCTGCGGCTCGGTGCTCAACTGGCTGGAGCTCGACAACCGCGGTCACCGGCTGCTGGTGACGGACGAGTCGGCCATCAACACGCCCGCCGTGGCCGCCGCCTACGTGACGCGCAGCTACGCAGCCCAGGCGCCCGATGAGATCTCCTTCCAGGTGCGTGCTTCGGCCCGTAATCGAAACCGTTCGGATTGGCTTGCGTGCGATGTTACCATCATTAGCAGCAGCATGACTGCCTCCACTACGTTTCGCCTACCAAACTGGTCGTATATGCTCGCTGTAACCATGTTCAAATGCGTAAGGATGTGGCCCAGCACTTGCCCATGCGAGCATAGATTATGGTGCCTGCGCCAGCGTACACATGTGCTCTTCCGGCGGGTCAGCAGATCCACGCTCATCTGCATCTGCATCGCTGCATCTTCCACGCTCGCCGATTGCAACATTGCAACGAACAGACTATTAAAAGTACGCGTGTTTCGATAAACGACCAAGATCGCTCGGGCATACCGGGACAGAGTACGCATTGAGCGTTTGCCATGTATTCGCGAAATCGGTTAAGACCACTGGGAGGGAACCAAGCTCTGGGGTGAGTCTTTAGAGCGCATAATCATGCGTTGGCGGACCATTGGAGGCGCGGCAGAGAAACAAGGTGAAGAAGGTTGCTTCGCTGTGAGTTGGTGTGGTGCTCCGCTGTTTTTATTTTGTTTTGTTTTTTGTTTCGTGTTGCAACAGCTGCTGTCACGACGAAGTTCGTGAGTATGTATCGGAATACAATCTGGCAGCCTCAAGCATTCCTTACAATACCTTGAAAAATGTATAATGAAGTGAACATCTTGAATGACATCATTCTGGTTTTATTTGTTTGCGCCAATAAATATATTTGGACTGCATGCTAGATGACCGGCAAATCTATTACTAGATATACTCTCTGTGCGGTATGTATGTCCTTCACGAATGTGGAATGCGCCGCAGCTGTGGACCCGATCGCGCGCTCGAGCAGGGCTTCAGCAGGAGACGCGGGAAACATCTCGCGCTGTCCCCTTGAGCTGTCTCGTATTTCCTTCACCGTCGGGTGGCCTGGCGTTGTCGCGCGCATGTAACGCACGTATAGCCGTCGCGCTCCCTTATCGGTATCTGTGTGGCGACGCGAGATCGTGTACCACATGGCGACATCTGGGGTCGGGTGCGCTCCGCAGCTCTTCTGTGCCAAAAGCTTTACGGCGTCGAGCGGGGGGCCAGGACCTTTCCTTCGGGTGAATGTGTGTGCGGCGAGCAAACCAGCTGGTGCGGCTTTCGCCAGCGGCCGCCGGCTCTAGTGAACCGAGCGCTCGCGTCCTTCCGCACCAAATCCCCGCTTTCGCCTGATAAGACGCGACCCGCTGCGCACTGCCTCGCTCTCTATGGGATTTCGTCTTCCGTCCCCTTTGCTGCATGCCCCTCGACGACGGGAGCCAACAAATTACTGCGCCGCCACCGAAAACCCTTGATGCTTGCGTTCCCGTGAAACCTGCCGTTTGCTTAGTGGTACCAAGCTCCTTGAATTTCGCATGTGCAGTTGAACTGTGTTGAAACATTAAAAGGAACATTGCTCGATACGCGAGCGTAGAAAATGCGCACTAAATTCTCTGGCACCATACGGTGAGCACGAGGTTACGGGTTCAATATCCGCCAGCGTGACGATTCAGTTCGTCCTCGAAAGCGTTCATGTTGTATCAGAAATAAGAGAAGCTCGGTATGGTCAGAAGTAATCATGTATCAGAGGCATAGTTCTGTGGTCCTCAAATGGGGAGTCCGTGGAGCCGTTGGGCGTTCCGTGACTCCATCGTCCGCGAAAAAAAAAAGGGGGGGGGGGGGAGTTTCCGGAGGCTGTAGTCTTGACCTATTCCTTATTCCAGGTCCTGTTCCAGGAATTAAACATTCTGAACAAGATCGCTCCGACGCATCAATGAAATACTAAACCTGCTACATCAGCCGCAGTAGCGCTGCGTTTCCTTCGCCGGTGGAGTTACTGTATATGCCACCTTTTAAGGTGTTCGCCTGTTCTGTTTTTTTTTTTTTTTTTCTCTTAAAAGGGTGACGAGCGCGTCTCCCTCCTCGTCTCTCCACTTTTCTGTTCGTCATAACGAAGGGTCCGCCATCACCGCGAACAGTTCACAAAGGGCCCCCTCACATCGACGGCTGAAAACCACCGGCACAGTTGTATTTTCACTGACCCTCATGTCAAGGCGTACGCTCTGGTACGTTTGTCCAACACAATCAATTATGTGAATTATAGCAACAAGAGCTTAATTTGGGCGAGTAGGATCATCGTGGTTGTGTTCTAGTAACAGCGCGACAACTTCAGGAAGAGACAAAAAGGACTTTCCTGTCCTTTTTGTCTATTCCTGAAGTTATCGCGGTGTTACTAGAACACAGCCATGTAAATTAAGTTGGGCCGATGCAGCGCGCTGGCTGTGAGACGTCCCTTTAGCGTTGGCACTCGCTTCCAGGACCAGCTGTAGCGCTTCTTGGGACACGTAGCCCAGCTGTTTATGCGAGTATATGTCTTCAGGCAGCGCGAATGGTACGTTTCTTGCAAAACACAACACGTTTAGAATGTTAAGGGAAAGAAGCTGTCGAAGTAAGAGCCTGATACAATCGCAAGCGCACTAATGACCTTGCGATACTCACAGGGTGTGTTGGCTGAGAGGTATGCGCCTAAGTACATCTGAAAAGTGTGTGAACCACGAACGAAGATGTGGGTATCTGAAGTGCGCGAACAGATGCGCGCTTCTAATTTGTTGACTTAGCGGCGAGCTCGTCCTCCGTATTTTGAGCGTGCCTCCGTGACCTGCGAAATTCGGGTGGCTTTTGAATAGTACCTCCTCGACTTCTTCTGGGGCAGATGGATGAAGCACATCTGCGAGATGCTCCAGCCGGTGGTGACCCGCCTGCATGAGTCGCACCCATCATCTATTTACTCATGAATGCACGGCGCGCCATGTGGCGGTGTCTGTTTGCTGGTGAGCGTCTGGGACCGCGTCTTCGCTTCGAGCGGCACTTTCCCTTTCCAGTGCGCATTATGTAATTATCATACGAGGGAGGGGGAGGGCAGTTTTCTCGTTACGGGGCGTGGACATATCAACATCGGTGTTTGCCGGCGCCCCGTTTTCCAGGTTCTGAGAGGGCCAGCGTGCTTGTCTTGATCTCAAGTTCGCGACTCTCGAGGGGGAGAGCTGTTGATTCATGCCGCACGCATGACGAGGGTCGACCCTCTTAGTTTTTTTCTCGTCTTCTTTTTTTTTTTCTTTTCTCTTGCTTGCAGTTGCCTCCATACTATTAGAGCTGGAGGGCAGCTAACGCCCTGCATTTTTTTTTTGTTCACTTCGGCAACGCGACGTTTGCGTAATTTTATATATCACAATAGCTGGTGTTTTACGTGCCATAACCACGATATGATTACGAGGCACGCAATAGTAAAGCGCTTCGGAAGTATGGACTATCCGGTGTACTTTAACGTGCACTGAGATCGCGCATTGTACACCGGGCCTTCATGGAAATGCTGGGATCGAAAGCGCGACCTTCGGGTCACCAGCCGAGCACAGTAACCATCGCGGCGGACGTGCGTGCTTTGTCATCTTAGCCGTCATTCTTTGCGGGGGCGTATACAGCCAAGAGGTGGCACACCGGGCGCGTGCCCCCCTGCTCCGTCAATTGCTGTTTGGCATGGCATACACAGAGAGGGAGATGACCATTTCATGGGGTCCCCACCCACCCTGAAAAAAGTTTGGCTGCGCCCCTGTTTCTTGCGAAGCGTAGGCACCAAGTAGCCTGCCTGGCTAATGCTAAAGACAAAAATTGTCGCGTCGCGAGAACGCGTCGTTGACGGCACGGCAGGCAGTGGTGTGAATTATGAAGGTACCGACGAAGTTATCGTCATATAGACTGGAGTGTAGGCAGAAACGTCTTTCAAGAAGATGGGAAGCATGGGCCCAGTGTGCCACCCCCTGGCTATACGCCACCGACACGGGTCTTAGAACTGCCATGTTGGCGGATCAATTTACCATGGCGGTGCAGCCAACCCGGCATAAACGTTATCGGCCGCGCAATAAGGAAGCAGGCGTGCTATAGCGTTTTGACGGTTCAATCGTTGCGTTGAGATGTGGTGCACTCGTCATTGGTAAAGTCGCTCATTCACTCGTCGTGTTCATGCGCCTCCATCAGTTTCCATCAAACAATGCCTGTTTTTTTATTTCTTTTCAGTGACGAAAAACCATGCGCAGAAATTCACACAAATTACACATACAAAGTGGTTGAGATAAGCATAGTGATTCACGTACAAAAAAGAAGTGAAACAGCAGGGCACGATTGTAAATGGATTCGGCGAATGCTTCGCCGCGTGACTTTGGGCTTGACTCGCGTGAGCTATGATTTGAAATATAGGCTCTTGCAAGCTGATAGATACTGTGTCCGATTCTGGAGCGACAATTTCATCACCGACATCTGAATTTTTTTTTTTTTTTTTTTGCAATACGCGGCACTTCTTTTAATCCTTGGGACAGACGGGCCGGACCTCGTGCGCCTCGCCTTCCTTCTCGACGAGCACGGCCTTGCATCGCCCGTAGTGCATCAACATGTCCCCCTGCGATGCTCAAGCAGGGTTTCTCGTTCGTCTCCGTATCAAAGTAAGGTCGCTGCTGGTGTTCGTAACTGCGTGAACCGTTTAGTGGTCTGATGAACCTCGAGTCTTTGCCTGTGGCCTGCGCAGTTGCGTTTCGATCACTTGCGTTGCGGCCGCTTTCGCTGTCCCGGTTGCATTGCGATATCCAGCGGGGCCCTTGAGAAGTACATCGTGCTTCGCGAGGCCGTTGGGTGCACCAAATCTAGGATAGCCGTCATTAGGTCTGCCAGGAAGAAATGCATCGCGCGAGGTTTCGTGGACGAAACGGCCGGACGAAATGCGCTACACGGCCCCGTTTCCGCCGGTCTCGACCCCCGGCTCCGCTCTGGTCTAGTTGGGCCCTCGATGGTTTATGGTCGCTCGCGGGCCATTAGTGGCACTGCCTCACTCTGCCACGCGCACAATGCGTGCGTCGTTTTCGAGATGCGCGCCGAATTCCTCCAGCCTGCTCGTGGTCCTTGCTGGGTCCAGGGGGGGCCTCTCGAGGCGGGTCAGCTTCAGGTATACGCACCCGCGCACAAAGGAACCGCCTGGTCTTCCAACACCCGCCGAGTAAAGCGACTGCGGCGGGGAATTCGTGGTGCGTCGGAAAGCGGCGAATGATGTGGCCCATTGTGCCTATCCCCGTGGACTCGCCAAGACAATGTGCCCGCCGCGATCTCTGGCGGGGCGTGTTGCGCGCAAATGGCGGTGACCGCGCCTCGGGCGCTGCCACTGCGGCGTCGTCCCGCGCGAGGCATTGTCTTCTTGGCGCGGGCGTTGTCGTCGTCGTGCCTCCATTGGCGCTGCGCGCCGTTGTTGTCGCGTAGTCGGTGGCGATCTGGGTCAAGGCTTCAACGTTCGGCGGCTCTTTCTCGAATCCGTATACGTCAGGGCTCGGGGAGTCGTTTTCTTTTCGACCCGAGTGCGGGCGCGAAGCGCCAACGAGGCATCATTGTTACCTGTTCTGCGTCTACCCGCCCGCCCACGGTTCTGGCGCGGCTCCTCCGAAAAGTGGCTTGCGCTCCTCGGATTGCCGTCGTCCCGCGCCTTTCGAATCGGCCACTTCTCACGTGTTCTCTCGGAAGGCGACAGGCTGCAGCGGGCTGACGAATGCACGCGGTGGCATTCTTCGCAGATTCGCCGTGGCAGCTCTTATACTCTAGTGCTTCAAACGAAGCTGCGACCGCTTTCGGTCGCTTGTCGCCTTTTCTATCTGTGGATGCTGCAGTATTTAAGTGAATGCGCGCATTATATACGTGCCACGGCCGCACACTGGGCGCGGACTTGATTGCTGTAGTATATAGTCGAACATTACGACTATGTGGAATCGCCTCTACTTGTTAGTTTGTTATATCCGTTATTTGTTGTAACAGCCGAGATAAAGTCAGCTCTAACAGATCGGCTCGTGCAAAGATCCTGGATACTAAAGCACATTATTCTGGGCTTCAAAACCATTATTGAACTTATGCATTTTAAAGTTCTGTTCATACTGCATCACAACCAGTAAAATGTGCAGTTTTTTTTTTTTTTTGTTCTCGTGTCGAGCGACTGCAATTCTCGCATTTTTTGATGGAAACCGCAATGAAGTGTGACCTATCAAAGCTTGTATTTAGTGCACCATAACCGACAGTTCACTATTTGAGTGTTCTGTATAATGACATTGTACTGTATTACCGTGACAGTAGAGTCTTTAAAGATACTCACTTCCCTTTACTTGGGGAAAGCATGAAATAACTACAGGATATCATCCATGTTAAAAAATTTTTATAGCTCTCACAAAAAACAGGGACACTCTCAGATGGTACCAATGAGCGCTTACTCAGTCACAACTGATTTATTTTTGAAAAGGACGAAACGTTAAGCACACATAATTTTCACAAAGCATGCAAGAAGCAAACGGTGAGGCATAATAAGCAAAATACAACAAGTTAAACAAAAGAATTAAAGACATTCCTTTATCAATAAGCACCACTGATGGTACTGATACTTTTTCCAACACCTATACTTAAGGTATGGAATGCTTCTGTGAGCTCACATGTAAGTTTATGAACTATGAGCAATATCAAATGTCTTTGTCACAGAAAACAGGATTACAATAGCATTATCTGCAATGATTCCACAAGTGTTGAAAAAAATTTAACATGAGTTCATACAAGCTTGCCCAGCTATCAGTTTGGCCTTAGAGGGTGTAAATCGCTAGGCTTTCCAGCTGCTTATCTCTCAGTGTGCAAGAAGATTACTTTGACACTTAGCCTTGCGCATTGTTCCTAGAACCCGTGTAGCTTACTGCTTGCAGGATGTACTAGCACTAGCCGCAGTGTTGCCTTGTGATGTTGTACTTCAAATTTTCCACTCACAAGCTTTTGTAAATTGAGTACATGTGCTCTATTGACTGGCACACTGTCAGATGCTTCACTGCGTAGCCTGATCCTAGACTTCATCAAACGTCAGCCAGAGAATCTCTTGGCATGATATCAATGACGAGGCCTCGTTTTTTTGTACATGAGTCACTGTGGCCCACAACGCCTTATAATTTCTGCACACTGGAAGTTCGCGTTCTTCAGTCTCAGCATGCATTGAGATTCTGCTTTGGTGATGTGACATTGGCAAGTTGAAAGAAGGGGGAATAATGGTCAAGTGAAATTTGAGCATGCATAAGTGCTTTCATGTTGCCATTGTCTGCAGTTCTAAATTAGATTCAAGATAAGGCTGAGCAAATATTTGCAATGGTTGTGAACCTAGCCCCAGCTGTTTTACTCAAGAATTGGCTACTGAAGGTGCTGAATATTTGTTGTACTCTTTTTTTTAATTGTGTATAAGAGACAACTGAAGGAAGGGCAAGTGAAAGGTGTGTTCTTAATGATTCTTCGGAAACGTGGCTCCTCGTCTTCTCTGGTCATCTAATTTAATTATTAGCATGCACCAATACAGACTTAGCTGATGCCCCTTTTTTTAATCATCATATGTTGTGGGACTTTAGGAATAATAAAATGTTCAATTCAATATTTGGTAGCTATGTTTGTAAATATTCATATTTGATCTTACTGGAAAATTTTGCACTATAGACACTCCACAAATTATGGCATTTTAGAAACAGTGACAGATTTTCTCCTACTGTAAGACAGCATTGCTTTTTTATATATTTGTTCTTACACCTTTTGAATAAATAGTATCTTCTCATTAGTTTAAAGCAGGCAAATCAATAGAATGCAACCATTTATTTTATTGAAAAAAATTATAAAAACTGTCCTTGCGAGTGTACAGCTTCAGAGTAATTGATTACCACACTCAAACTGTTCTGATCCTCTTATCGCACAGTAGTTTATGGCAGCAAGTCTTGTATACTTGAGATTTCTTTACCATTCCTACTGAATTTATAGCTATCCTGTGCTTAATAATGACATTTATACATGATTATCATTGTGTGCTATTTTGTGCAGGTTGGAGACATGGTATCAGTGATTGACATGCCCCCGGCAGATGAATCGATGTGGTGGCGTGGAAAACGAGGCTTTGAGGTTAGTTATTGCCAGCCGATCTCTGATTTTTGCGTTAGCTGTTTCTAGGGTGTGAAATAATAGGCAGAAGTAGTGTCTGCATGGGTTGATACTGAAAGTCCTGAACAGTGCCCTGCAAACCATAACTGTTCAACTTACACAGGCTGTCACAGACAACAGCCAAAGAGATGTCCAGTACTGAGGTCCTCATTTAATGTGACACTTTTTTTTACATTTCCTCTTATTAGGTTATGTAATTTATCTAACTTTCACATGTCTCGTTGTCATTGGAACATTTTTTATTATTCATTACTGGTTGCTTGCTATTTGCATTGTGTAGTGGCTATGTCTTGTCTGAATGTGCCTGTTGTACTTATTCTGTACTGGAATATCATGCATGTTTGTTTTACATATATACAGTTTCCTACACATGGTCATTCTCTGTGCAGGTGCTGTAGCTTAATTATCTATTGTATCGCTACCATTAACAGAGCAGTCAATCAGCTGAACTCATTATCAGAAAAAAAAATGCGTATCATAATGAGACCAATAGGCGGTGGGCTACTTTTCAACACAAACAATAAAATTTGTGCACAAGTCAGTCAGGAGATAAACTAATTGAGCAATATTTCTACAAATAGTTTTAAAGAAGTACATTGATCATTACAAACTTCAATCTACCGCAAGCATGACTGTAAAAGATTTGGCTCACCTAATGATGGATTGAATTGATGTAATTTGCCCCATTCATCTTGCGCAAGAATGAAATTTCTCATAGTTGCTGTTTGTGGTCGCAGTCCAAACGATTGTACTGGTGGGGCACGTGACTTATTTATGTTGCCTATGGCTCTTACAAATTTTTGACCTTGTCTGTTCTTGCTTCTCCAAGGTTGGCTTCTTCCCAAGTGAGTGTGTGCAAGTGATCGGCGACAAAATTCCTCACAACCTGAAGATTCCCACAAAGCCAGGTAACAAGAACTCATCTGTTGACTTGATTTCGGGCTCAGATCTTGTGGCATATATCTAGAAGCATAGCTACTGATAGTGCTTGGAAGTTCGAAATCAGGCAGTTGTCTTGAAGACAAGCAGCTGCACCTTCACATTTATGAGCCAGCAATTTAGCTTTTGTTATTGTTGTCATACTTGACCACATCTGAGGTGCTTACATGTAACTAATATTGGAAAATTGTGTATAGTGTGTACTTGTAGAATTATTATTGCACTGTCTTTGTGCAGAAGTATAGTAGGTGCCTTCATTTTAACATTGTGTGGTAAGCAGTCCTGTCAAAAAGCTTTTGTTTGGCCTTTTTAGCCATATGTAGCTACCCTTTAAACGCTGCTTTAATTTCAAGGTTGACTGTATTGTCATTATGTGATTTTTTTGTATGCATTGCATGAGGGTTCACAAAGTGCTGCATGCGCTGCAGTGTTGCGGAAGCATGGCAAGTTGATTGCCTTCTTCCGGTCGTTCCTCTTGTCGCGGCCCTCGCGGAGGAAACTCAAGCAAAGTGGGATCTTGAGGGAGCGGGTCTTTGGCTGTGATCTTGGCGAGCACCTCACCAACACTGGCAGAGATGGTTAGTCTGTTTTTATTCATGTGTTCGCAGCAGTACATTGGTTTTGCTAGGTGATATTGGCATGCACAGTAAAACCTTTTATAACAAAACAATATTTGATGTTAAGATACATTATGTTCGAACTTGTTATAAAGATACAGTAGACTCTCATTAAATGGAACCTTAGAGGACCAGGAGAATACGTTCCATGCAACAGGAGTTTCATTTACTGAGAGATAACCAGGGGTGCAGAAAACTAGAATGAAACCAATCCCGTCAGAAGCATTTGTTCATTGCAAGCAGAAGTTCCGGTTAACAGATTTCTGCATACTGAGAGTCTACTGTATATTAATAACACTGTATCAATGAAAATACTATTCTTTATTTACTTCCTTACAACTGGAAACTCATTAAAGATTGATTTGTTGCATCACAATTTCACAGTATGGCACCGACATTGCATATCCTGTTGGTTGGTGGAAGCCAAAAGGCTGGCCTTTTAAAACTAGCCAACTTCGGTGGTGAATACCGTATTTACTCGATTCTACCGCACCCTCGATTGTAAGGCGCACCCAATTTCCACGACGCAAAAAAAAAAAAAAACTTAAGACATCGATTGCAACGCGCACCCATTTTTCTCGCTGGCCCGCACGATCACACCACTCAAAGAAACGATTCCTTTCGGGGGCGTTTTCTATTTAAATATGAGATACGGGCGAAGCTTGTGCCCATCTGACGTGTAACAGAGTATTGCCGTCACTGTAGTTTTACCTGTGGACCGATGTCAGCATCGCGAACTTGCTTCGCCCCCTTCTTCTCGGCGGTTGTGGTGCCAGGCATGTTGAAGTAAAGAGGCGTCTGATCGGCATTCCCGATTTGCCCAAGCAAGTAGCCGTTGTTGTGCCGCAAGTTTAGGACGAACCTCTGAAAACTGTGAAGCTTTTCATCGTACTCCTCCGCAAAACTTTTCGCATATGCCCGTTCCCCTTCGAAGGAAAAGCCTTTCCTCTTCATAAAGTTAGTTAGCCAGCACCTGCTCGCTTCAAACTGGCTCCGCATTAGACCTTTTTCTAAGGCTAATTGCATAGCCCGCACTTGGAGCAGTTCTGTTGTCACGGGCCGCTGTGCCGCTCGTTGCTCAAGCACATACTCGCCGAGCAGCTCTTTAATTTGCGGAAACCGACCCTGCTGTGGTCCACTGAAGCCTTTGCGTGAAGCTTTGCTGTCGACAATCTTCTGCTTTTGTTTCCGCCGGTCCCGCACGCACGTTTCGGGAACTCCGAACGACCGCGATGCGGCCCGATTTCCGTCCGTTTCTGCACACACGATGACTTCTCTTTTAAAAGCGGCATCGTGGTGCACTAGAGTTTTTGGAGTCGGCCCTTCCATACCGTCGATGCTAATGCACTACAAGATGACGAACTCCTCAGCACACGTACGAAGTGCCGCACATGGGAAACACATAGGCAGAAATGGCCGATGCGCCATGCCGACGCACGTAGGGGCGTTATTTTAGAAATGCCGATGGCAATAGATTGACCGTATTCATTTTTTTTTTTTCGTACTCGATTCTAACGTGCATGCGATTTATGAACTCGCTTAACCGGAAGAAAGGTGTGCGTGTAGATTCGAGTAATTACGGTAACTATGCGCATGGCCCTAAGCATTCCATCTTTGTCATCTTTTTTGCCACAACTTTAATTAGCTGATGCTTCCATTACCTTGTGCACACTATTTCCATGCATCCATGTGTATCACTGTGCGAGATTTAACTTTGGTACAATTATAAATTATTATTTTTTCTTGTTTCTAGTGCCCTTGGTGCTGTCAAGTTGTGCCAAATTCATTGAACAGTTTGGGATCGTGGATGGCATTTATAGGTTGTCTGGCGTGACATCCAACATCCAGAGGCTAAGGTGAGCCAGTCAACAATAATTACAAAAAAATTCTTTGACAATTCTCTGCCTACATAAAAAAATTATTGAGGTGAAATTCCCACTAGGAGTTAGGTTATGCAGTGGGTCGTAGTCCGCAAACTGCACCTTGGCAACACCGTTCTGTTCGTAATCTACAGTTAAAAAGATTGGTTATGCAGCCTTCTCAAAAACCACAAAACGCTGCCTGTTCCCAGTATAGCATCGAATTCCAAACTGAATCGTAAAATATTATAAATATAGGCTTTCTTGGGGTCGCCATGAGAAGAACAAGAAAGCACATTAAGAGCTCTGTTAAGGCATGATTGTGTAAATGTTTTCTCTCATTTATTGCAGGGTAACCTTTGATGAAGACAGAGTGCCAGACTTGAACGAGGAGGAGATTCGTCAAGACATACACTGCGTGGCCTCTCTGCTGAAGATGTACTTTCGAGAACTGCCTAACCCACTACTTACGTACCAGCTATATGACAAGTTTGTTGTAAGTGCTAGGATCTCATTGCAAACAGCGCTCAGACCTATGCATGTCTGCCACAAGTGTCCATTGAGTGTGCCTTTTTCTTCCAGCATGAGATTTTGCTGTTCGTGCAAAAAGGAGAGTGTATGAATGCTTGTTTATGAGATTCTTTTCATGTGTGTATGATTACATTGTGCTGAAAAAGTAGTGGACCCTATCTTTCTGTACAGTTCTTTGCTAGAATGACGGGCATACTGTTAATTAACTAAGCAGTAATGGAATCACCGAGTGCAATGCAGCACAAAACACTGCTATTTTTGTTACCTCTTTCTTTAAATTTCACTAGCATTTACAGAAGTACGTACACTGTGAGGAAGATGCACACGAAGACACAAGCAGCACATGCGAGCAGTATTGACAGTCTGTCTTTCATATTGCATTTTTGAAAAGCACGAACTATGCAAGTTAACCCAAAGCAAAATTGTTCCTACTTGGCACAGCTGAGTGTTCTTTCTGGTCAGGTATCCTAGTTTTGATTATTTAAGGTACTTTCAGCCATGTTGAAGAGAAGTAAGTGGTGTCATGTGCACAGGGCATCAATAATTTTTCAATCCAGGTGTTGCATAAAAAACACTGCCTTTGAAAGTTTGGTACAATTTTTTTTTCATGTTTTGCCATGCAGACAAGGTTCTGACAACAACTCTGTGCATGTCCTTTTTCTCACTGCCCTTGTTATGTGCTGTGTCGCAGGCGGCCATGCAGCTTCAAGGCAACAACCAGCTTCTGCGCATCCGGGAGGTGGTGAAGGAACTGCCACCACCCCACTACCGCACGCTAGAGACACTGGTTCGCCACCTGGCCGTGGTGGCCGCTCATGGAGACCGCACGGGCATGACGGCCAAGAACGTCGCCATCGTCTGGGCACCCAACCTGCTCAGGTCAGTTCCCACAGAGTCGTGAGAGTCATTAAGAATGACCCAAGTGGTGGCTCCAGCAATATCTTAAATATGAGGTGAGGCTACAGTGAATCTTTTTCAGTGCAGGCTGCATCTCTTTAGAACAAATAAGGACTTATAATGGGACAAAACGTAGTCAGGCCTTCGTGACATTGTGTCTCATAAATTTGTTATACTGTGGGCATATTGAATTTTTTGTTTACTTTAGAGCCAAAAAGCTTTCATCTTTAACCTACATGGGTGCTGTGGTATTGGCGATTGCTGCAGGTCCAAGGATCTGGAGGTGGCAAGTGTTGGTGCCCTGCACGTGATAGGTGTCCAGGCGGTGCTGACCGAGTACCTCATCTGCTATGTCGATCTCATCTTTAACGACAAGATGCCAACATACCCAAGCAGCCCCGAATCTGTAGAGAGTGAGCATTACTTCATTTTTGTTGCCAAAATATTTCAATATAATGGCAATCTCCACCCATATTCTCGCCCACTGTTGAGATCCTCCCACTTACGTGTGGCATTTCACCTTGAGGTTGTAGCACAGCTTGTACGTGTTACAAGAATCCACACACACGGAAGACACGTCAAGCCTGAGGTGGCTGCACCTGCTCCTATTCGTGTCTTCTGGAAGTGGCTTCTGATGAAATATACCATTTGTGGACTTCCATGATCGACGTCTGTCTGCCTGTTTCTGCACATTCTTTATGTATTGACAGGCATGTTTTCAATCATCACTTCAAAAATAGCATTATATCAGTCTGAAACTCACTCTCGGTTTACACATTCAGTTCTGGTTCCCCCACAACTGCGATATAACACGTAATGTTATCATGTCACAGCTTTTGCATATATTTTAGTTTATAATTATTATAGCTTTTGTGGTATCATTCAATTTATCTTTATTGCTAATGGACCATGCAATACTTATTTTATTCAACCCTTTCGCCAAAATATATTTTTATCATCTAGTATGTTACTTCACAACTCATTTGTGAGTGTGTTTGTGGGATTGATTTTAATTAATTTTTTTGTTGATACCTTTAGAGAGGATGCACTACGTTACATGGGAATTGGAACTATTCCAATGTTTGAAAAGGAAAATGCATGTTTCTACATGGTTTAAAGTAATGTCAATTTATCTGACATCTTTCTGCATACATTTCTAACACAGGCACTCCTAGAAGAGGCAGCAGGCCTAAGTCTCTGGCCATCTCCACCCCAACCAAGCTGCTTTCGCTAGAAGAGGCCCGTTCACGAGCACTGTCCTCAAACCTGCCTGGAAACCCACAGCAAAAGTACATTGATGTTGGCGGTGGACCGGACAGTCTGCCAGCAAAGTACCACACAGTCATTGATCTACCCCACGGGTGAGTAGCTGTGAATTTAATTTCTTATACAGTATATTGCCGATGACAAGTAAACACCAATTATATGTCGACCATCCAACTTGCGACCCCTTCTAGGCAAGGCAAAAAAATAAATGTTGTCTCCGAACGCAGTTTCACGCCAAGGCCATAGCACACCATTAAGTCCTTCAGAAGAGGGAGTGATGTAAAGAAACCTTTAACCCTGAAAAATCGCTTACAACTCGTGGTTGTTTGAGAGAAGGATGCAGCAGTCACGGTTGCTGCCATCATGTGAGCCACTACTGCTGCTCGCCGCTAGAAGGGGTGCAGGCAGTACTGAAATACCGCATGTGGAAAACGTCGCGCGAGCCATGTTGGTTGGCAGTCCATACCTGGCATCATTAACCCATTGCACCACTTCACTCGAAAAACTCTGTTTGAGCTCAGGTTAGCGGAATGCACATATCCTTCGCAACAGTACGGGCTTTTGCTTCAACATGATCGTAGCTCACACTCAAGCTTTTGCTTCTCTGGTTGTGAACCCAATCTCGAACAGTCTCCTCAATGACAGGGCATCGTCCAGACTTCGGTCTCCGAAAGGAACGGCATGTTGCAGCGCACGCGAAGATCTTGGACCTTTGTTTTCTCCATACCCTTACGCGATTTTCCGACACATGGGACTTCCACCCTGCTTCAAGGTTGCTTCCAGACTCTGCGTAAAGGATCACTCGCCGCTTGAAAGCAGCACTGTACTTTTGCCGATGTAGCGGTTGAATCTTGGCATTCGTTGAGCAGCTTCGCAAATCGTGCGCACCACTGTTCGCAAGTGAGGCGAAATGCAGAAGTGGCAAACAGGTGTGAAGGAAAATAGCGTGCAAAGTTATAAAGACACTTGCGGGCTGTGCAGCCAGATGGCCCTTAAACAAAATTGGTGACTGGATCTGCCAAAAATCAGCATATTATAGAAAAGTTGATAAATTCATTTAAAATCAATTTAATGACATGAATTTGATTGATTGTGTGAGTAAATATTTTATTTATTATTTATTTAATGTTACTATAATTAAATATAATGAATCTTTTTTTGCTATCGCTAGAGCGCCCCTAGCAGCAAAAGCTATTTCTGGTTGATGCCACGTGTGTATGTTTTTTCTGGGATTCTTTCTGGTTCTTAAGCACCTGTGACCTGTGAGAATGCATGCTGGCAGATTTCTGAGGCTATGCGCAGCCGAAAATGTATCAGGGGCTCAGTGCTAGCTGTGCAGTCGAAATACTTTTGTGCATGTGGTCACAAGTCTGTAGGTAGAGAGTACTGCGGCGGAAAGTTCGCTTTTGAGAGTAGTTGCTAATGCACATTCCACTGGTCAGCCCTGTTTTAAAGGGGTGAATTCGACAGCTTGAGAGCTCTACAACGTGAAAAAGCAGATATGCACGTTATGTCCCTCCTTCCTTATCATGTAATGGCTTGGCTTTTAGTAATAATGCTCCGGTGATCTTTTACATGATTTTTTCGCAGAACCCTTCAGAGGGATCGAAAATGACAATTATTTGTTCCCGGTAGCCATGTGAGCCTCTTGACACCTCTTCAGCACCTGTTCTAGAGATAGAACAGGTGCTAGTCGCAATTCAAGCTCACCGCGATTTTGGTGAAACGAGGGGGAGGGGGGCTGAGGGGCTGAGGCTAAAAGAGGTGAAAAGGCGCTGTTTCTGCAGCCCTCATTGGGGGAAGTGGGTGCGTTCGCATCTTGTGCGCTCGAGTTTGTGGCTAGTGTACATCTTTTAGATACAGAAGAACATTTCGGCAGACACCGACTGCCCTTTGAGAGAGGTTTGCTTACTCAGCCGGAACTGTGAGGGCACGCTGTGCACTAAAGCAAGAGAAATGCATGTCACATCTTTCACAAATGATAAACGTCACGTTTTTGTGAGCAAGAGATGCATGTCAAGTTTTTCGCGGACAGATAAATGTATATGTTGCTTTGTTAGCTAGCGATAAATGCATGGGACGTTTATTGATGTCATATGCCCTGTAATACCCGTATACCTATATACGGCGAGTGCCGGTGTTCTTGCCGATCTCGCACGAAAAACGATTTGGTGGCGATTTGGTGGCGATTCGGTGGCGCTACTATTGAAAACATCATCCCATCGGCGACACATCATGAAAAAATGCTGTATTCCCAACGTGCCGTTACTGATACCTCGTACTCTAGCCACCATAGCTATACTATAGTTTCGCGATCGTTGTGGCTGGTAGTAAAAATATACAACTCCGAAAGACGTGTGCACACGTTCGGAGATTGCAGTTCCCACGACTCCGTTGCCTCTGCTGGCTGATGTTGTCGATGCGCAGAATAGCAGTGAATCTGCGGACGGCGACCGTTAATTGGATCCTCTAGAAAAGTCTACTTTATGATTCTGCATATAGATAGGCCGACTCAGATTATAGGTAGACCCAACTTTGGAAGGCCTTATGAAAAAAAAAAAGTTGACTTATAATTGACAATATACAATAATAGCATTTTTTGTGCAGTAGCAATAAGTTACACAGCTTGATTGATTAGGCACACCGAGGTTCCACCTATTTTTCGTATGAAACAGCCTATCACGATTAAGTCAACATTTCATGCTATACACTATTGGCTTGCAATCTGGTAAGCACAAGAGTGTCAGCTTCTTCCTCTTTCATGCTTTCTCTCTCTCTTTATTTCTTTAAGCATCTAACAATTATTGAAGAGCAGGAGTGAGAGAACTTGTTTGAGAGCTGGCTTGCCCATAAAAATTGTCACCAACATCTATTTCACTGCTTTCACAACTCCTCATGATTACAGCTATAATACAAGCGTTGATAGCTACGCTACTGCCAGGGCATGAGCGTTGATGCGCATAATGTTGAATACTATTGCAGTAGTTCGCAGAGGAGCACATTGGGCTACTGCAAGAAAGCCTACAACGCTCTTTGCCGATACTATGATAGAGGGAATGATGAACCTTTTTGTCACCATCGTCATCCTTTGTCTTTGATTGTTCAATCTGTGTCGATTGGTCCAGGAAACGAGGCAGTGGAAAACTGAAAAAGTCCCCGCTGGGATGGAAATCGTTCTTTGCGCGTGGCTGGCACTCTGGAAGCACCAGGGAAAAAGACAAGCATGGGCCAGGCCTGCGAAAAGCCAGCACCGGATCGCTACCTCACCACCAGAGCCTGCCGATACAGGTGAGAGGAACTGTGAACACTCTAGCCCAAATGGCATCACTTGCATATCATCGATAAACCCGCACCCTGGTTGCGCAGAAAGTGTGGAATGCTTGCACGCGAAGACATAATTGTGCAGTTCTAATGCACGCTGCTCATAATACAGCATTGCTGTCAAAATTGTCTGACACAGTTGCGCATAATGCCGAAAATGGACTCGGGGGGGGGGGGGGGGGGTGGCAACAGCCTACTGTCATATACAATGTCATTGCAATATGGGGACAAAAGTCTTTGCAAAGGCTGGCAACACTGTGTTGCTAACTAGTGTTTTGAAAAGTCATTGAAACTGCATTACTGTACAGTAGACTCCTTTTAAGTGGAACCTGAAGGCACCAGAAAATTATGTTTCCCTTAAGGGGAGTTTCGTTTACTGAAAGATAAACAGGAGTATAATATTCAAGTACAAAACCAGACATATTAGGGGCAGTTGTTTCATTTAAACAGCAATTTCATTTAAGATAGTTTCGTTTAATATGCGCCTGGGTGGTTCCACGAGAGATCGACACGGGTCCAAAAGTTGATATTATAGATTTCATTGAGTATTTTGTATTTCGTGCACCTCTCACCAGGTAGCCCAAAAGTCAACTTCGTTTTATGATTAATGGCATAACTTATGAGAAAAAAAATATCAAACTTCACCAACACGGAGGCACCCATTTCGTCACCTGTCATTTTCGAAAATTGCAGATGCTATAAAAAGACAAATATTTTTGTTTCAAGGAAGATATTTTTTTACCTGAAATGCATGTCTAATGAAGAACGAATTTAAACGGTTTCAAGTTTGTAGACCTTAAGAAAATAGCTTTTAAAAATTTCTGATTTTGTGCCAGTTTAAAATAAGTTCCGCATACGCCATTTTTTTTTCTCCAAAAGTAATGCAAGCAGCGTTTTCAAACTTGACACGTTTTAAGGATATAGTGTGTTCATTAGGTACATAAATTATTGCTATTGTAGGGCAAATGTAAATTTTTATATATTGCCTCAAAGTTCTCATATTGGCAAAAATGTACCCCACTGAAATTTGAATAATAAAAAAACTCCATCTTCGATTTTTCTTGAGATCTCGTAAATAGACAACCGAAGGCCATCATACAGTAATATAGAACAACATGTTGCATTATTTTGTTTTTAGCGACAATATTCGTGGTACAAATCAGAGCTTTTCAAGAATGCACTCATAAGTAGAGAAATCTAGGAATCGGAATGGAAAAGCGGCAATGAGCTTCAAACGCGAGTAAACGTGACCGAATTTGGTGAAGAAAGGCTGATTTAGCAGATAGGAGTAACTATTTTGAACACGGTATTCTACAGTATCTGAATTCAGTCTTATACGTAGAGCACTGAGACTTCCAATACGTGGTGCCTCTCCATTACTGACACACAGATGGAGCTGCTGTGACGGCCATGTGTTTGCAACACGTTGGGTAAGAGAATTGAATGTTGAATGAGTTCATAGATGATTCATAACAAATTTTTATCATTTGGGGCACGAAGACTGCCGCGTTAGACTGAAGAACACGCTTTAGGGCAAGTTGTCATCCGTCGTCTGCTCTACAGATGAATTGCTGTGCGCCGCATCTCGGAGGCAATGCTGTAGATTATATGGTTCAAAGTAGGGACAAAGATTACGCCTTCCATAATTTTATCGACAAAAACATTGTGAAATTCATTTTAACATACTATACTTCAGTTTTGCATTCGCACTGTGGATACTTGTGCGCAAGTATCCACAGTGCGAATGCACTTATCAGCGCATTCTCGAAAAGCTCTGATTTGTACCACGAATATGTCGCTAAAAACAAAATAATGCAACATGTTTTTCTATATTACTGTATGATGGCCTTCAGTTGTCTATTTACGAGATTTTAAAAAAAATCAAAGATGGTGTTTTTTTATTATTCAAACTTCAGTGGAGTACACTTTTGCCAATATGAGAACTTGGAGGCAATATATAAAAATTTACATTTGCCCTACAGCAGCAATAATTCATGTACCTAATGAACACACTATATCCTTAAAACGTGTCAAGTTTGAAAACGCTGCTTGCATTACTTTCGGAGAAAAAAAAATGGGGAATACGGAACTTATTTCAAACTGTCACAAAGTTAGACATTTTAAAAGCTATTTTCTTAAGGTCTACAAACTTGAAACCGTATAAGTTCATTTCTCATTAGACATGCATTTCAGGTAAAAAATATCTTCCTTGAAACAAAAATATTTGTCTTTTTATAACATCTGCAATTTTTGAAAATAGCAGGTGACGAAATTGGTGCCTCCGTGTTGGTGAAGTTTGATATTTTTTTCTCTCAAGTTATGCCGTTAATCATAAAACAAAGTTGACTTTCGGGCTACCTGGTGAGAGGTGCACAAAATATAAAATACTCAATGAAATCTAAAATATCAACTTTTGGACCCGTGTCGATCTCTCGTGGAATCGCCCGCCTGCTGTATTTGCTAAAAAGCTTTGTTGTGTGCTTTTAGTGTTTTGTGTGTCTGTGTGTAGCAGGCTTTATTGATGAAAAGGCTAGCTTAGGTATGGTCTGCCATGTAAGTTGCTTAATAAACAATTCCCTGGCATTTCTCTTTAGACAGTGGGTCTTTCGTCTGCCTTGTGTCATGCTTTCAACTTGTTTGTGCCATGCTCACGGTGCTTTTTTTTTCTCTTCGCCTAGGACAAAGCACTTACAGAGGCTGACCTCGCACACAGTGCATCCAAGCAGCTTAGGAGCGTTAAGAGTGCAGAGTCTCTCATCTCTAGTGGTGGGCACTCAGGCCGAAACTCTGATGTCTTAGACTCCTGCAATTCATCTTCAGGTACGTGCTACTAGCTGCCACCTTTACATTGCCTGCAGGGCTAGTTTATTAGCATGTGCCTGCTTGGTCAGTGCAACCGTACAGACTTCCACTATGGCTGCCACATCGATTTGCTTTTGTTTGCGCAATTGTGAAGCAGAACAGAGTTTTTGGACACAGTCAAATACACAGCCTTTGTCCACCCTTCCCCCTATGTGTACCTGTCCCATTACTGTCGTGACAATAGAAGGAAGACTTTCTTCGCTGATTTCCTGTCAGTGTTCTGTAAAAATGGGACTCTAGCACCTCATTTTTGGGGGGAAATCAGCGATGAACTTTTTTCCCGATCACATAAACGCCATTCGACAGGACAGCATAAATTCTAGCACTATAAATTGAGGCAGTGTGGTCACGCTCATTAAAATAATTGAGTAGGTGCACAATTTGGTCAGCAAATGTAAAACTCAAAAACATTTTCATTCTGCAGACTGTGACTGAATTCACCCATGGCTTGCCTTGGCTCGGGCAAGCTTACAGCAGAGCAGCTGCCTGGAATATGAGCTGTCAATTGCATATGTTTATATTCATTCTCATTAACTCCAAGTCTTAAAAACCAGAGAGTATTTCAAGATAAATGGATTTTCGAGATAAGGAAAGTTGTGCTAATCACCGGGAAAAATTAGTGATTTTCAGAAAAATCAGTACTACCATAATTACTCGCTGCGCGCTGACGCGCGCCTTGCAGGACCACAGTTTCACAACCAGCCAACCATATTTACTCGCGTAATGAACCCACTCGCATAATGAACCTACCCCCACCCACCTTATACCTTGAAAAAAAAAAAAAGAAAAAATATAATGTATCTTTTCATTTTATTTCGGGGTGATAGCCAGTGCCCTTGACTATCTAAACAACGTTAAATCAAGCCAATATATCACAAAATAATGTCGCAGTTAAAGTCGAAACATAATTTAACAACCACGCTAAACAGCTGCAAGCAGTGTAAAGAATGAACTGAAGAAACTGACTCAAAAGTCATCAATCAAAACTCAAAAGTCGTGCCTTATGTGACAGTGCGCCATACGTCCAATGCTGGGGAAATCTTTTTGTTTATAGCGCCACGCAAGCTCAGCGGCAAAAAGACAAAGAAAAAAATGTACATGGCCTCCGAGGTGGCGGGGGCACAACGTAAAACACTTCTCGCGCCCGGCATCTCGGAGGCCATGCAAAGCGTAACCGCACCATGGAGACGTTGTGCACCCGCAACGTTTGTGCGCCGCCATCAGACGTTGCATTTTTGTTGTCGGGTTCGTTGTAGGGAACTTAGTTGGGGAACAGCTGCTGCGCAGGGCTCGTTTGGCTGGAATGGTATCAACACTGCTGGTAAACTTAAAAGTTTGTCGAGCATGCGGTGGAGCACTAGAACCAACCGCCCGGACGACGCTTCGGCATCCATGCGCGTTCATTACGGGAGAAAGCAAGAAAGCTGTGGGCTACAAAACGATTTGCTGCGAATTTCGTGAAGCAGGACACGCAAAACCATAACACAAAATTTTCGCTGTTATAACTCCTGTCATTAACTTTTTTTCTCCCGCGTAATGAACCCTCCCCCCAAGTTGGCGTCAATTTTTCTGAAAAAAAGGTGGGCTCATTACGCAAGTAAATATGCTGCTTACTGGCTCTTCAGTGGCAGTTTTTAATCCTTTTTCTCGTGCAGGTTTGAACGAGAAAAAAATAACATACAATAGACTTTAACCTGCTGGGTTTTGCGGCACTGCCACACTATTATTTAGCAGAGAAAAAGTGTATAATGCTCGTCAGCTTTGCAGTCGTACTTGGGCTTAGAAGGGCATCCTCCAGCTGCTTGACGCATCGCATCAGTCTATCTTCCCCGCCGCTGCACTCGACCTTATTTGGAAGCAGGCGCTGCAAATTTCTTGTCTCGGCGAATGTCGACACCTCTCAAGGGGGTTCATCATCGGCCCCAACTCCGTCGTCCCCTACTTTGGTGGCCGTTACCTGTAAGCTTGGTGACCTGTTGACAAAGTTCCTCACAGTCTGTGAAGTCATCCCTCTCTGCTTCTGGCAAAATGGCGGCACGTGAAAACCCAGCGTGCACAAAGCAGTTCGCGATAACCACTGCACGAGCTTTGAAAAGCTCCCAGTGGGTAAATTTCGTAGCCGTTGCCATTTTCATAAGACAAAAATTTCTGTGCAGAAGGCTCCTTCAATAGATTTTTCAGGCCACTTCAATAACACCTTGGTCCATCAGCTGCAGCACAGATGTCATATTTGCAGGCAGAAACTCTGTCACTGCCTCCAAATTTATTATTTTGTCGTGACCTGGGCAGTTGTTGACAATGAACAGGACTTCTCTGTTTTTCTTGGCCATCTTGTTACTTATAGCACGAACGTACTCTTCGAAAAGAGTAGCAGTCATCTACGCTGCTCTATTTTCACTTTAGTAATGCCATTCTGCAGTCGTGCATTTATAAAGTGCCTAGGCTTGAGAGCTTTGCCAACTATGAGTAACGGCAGCTTCTCTTCACGTGTGGCATTTGCCCCGAAAAGGACAATGACCCTGTTCTTTTATTGTTTCACTCCTGTGCACACACTGCCCTCCGGTGTGAAGGAGGTGCAAATCTGTAACATTTTTTAAAATAGTGCTGCCTCGTCAAGGCTGAAAATTGCACTGTCGGCATAACTCTTCCCCAAATCGGCGAGCCGGCTGCTGCGTCAATTGTCTGCAGTAGCGGGGTCGACAGCGCCGCTCTCCTCGTGCACTGACTTGGACACCACACTGTTTCTTTTTTTTTTTTTTTGAAGCAGTCAAGCGAGCCACTGCTGCAACTCAAGTCCGTGTGCCCCATTTGCAAGGCCAAAACGTCTGCCTTCTCCATCATTATTGCTGTGATGACGGGAAGGTTGGCTGTTCTGCCATTTCACTGCCATACCATCAGCGCCGCTTCAATGTCTGAGAACTTCAACCCTGAAACCCGCTTTCACTGGCTAGAGAAGCTGTGCTGAAATGCATTCAGCAGCTTCTACTTGTTTTTTATCACAGTCGAAAGCGTAGACAGAGGGATGCAGAATTCCTGCGTGGTGCTCGATTTCGTTCGGCCTTCTTTCTCCACTTCTTATTAATTAGGGCAACCTTTTTTCTAGCGTTAGCATTTTGCACTGCTTTGATGCCATGTTTTCTGCACTCGCGCTAAGTTGCCACTCCAGTTAGCGCAGAGGAACGCAAATCGCCCCTCAGGAAAAATAATATGCACTACACAAAGCGAACGAGACAAATTACGCCGAGCACGAGCAGAGGGCTTCCCTGCTCGGCGCATGCGTCACATGAGGTACCACAGGGTTGCCTGGCAAAGTTGATATGTCACTTGGCTGAGACTTCATGCACTTCATGTTCACGTTAAGCATCGACGTAGTAGCAGGCGCGGCTAATAAGAAAAAAAAATCGATGAACTTCAGATGTGGCAGCTATGCGCAAGTCTCGTGAAATGGTACGGCGCCAGAATTTTCATTTCACTGCCAATCAAGATTTCGAGTTATCTGCAAAAATATACATGTGACGTATAGGAATATGCTCACTGCCACAGAAAATTTCGACTTAGCCGATTTTGCGAGATATGCGAGTTTGAGGTAACGAGTTATTACTGTACTTTGCATCCTGAAATTGAGCAAATGCTAATGTTGCATATCGTACTTGGTCAAACATTTGAAAACGTCAAATGTTTGACAACCTTATTAGCCATCGGTCCTATCATGGTCACTGGCAGCATAGAGGCGGCTGGTGCATTTTGAGCGCTTGACTGTCTTCTTTGTCTCGCGGTGATTGTTTTTCAGTGGCATGAACATGTCAGAGCTCAATGGTGAAGCAACACTTGTCTTTTGTGGAGGAATGTCCTTGTCTTTGAACAGCGCACCCTATCACATGTTCATGTGTGTACATTGCTAGAACCTCGGCCTTGAGAAGGCATGATCTCGTTGCATGATGCATGCTTCATGCTACATTCAAAAGAAGGAATTTCTGGCACAATGCCAAACTTGCTCTTTGTAGATGATCTAATCAGGTCAAACCTTGATGTGATGAATACAGATGTGATGAGTGTTCTGTTATAACGAAGCAAATTAAAAATTCTGCTGACGTTCATGCAATGTTACGAAAATGTATCTGTAATGAATTTTTAACCTTAACAAAGCCAGTTTGCTTATCAGATGTGAGTTTCATTAAAACAAGGTTTTACTCTATAATTGTGTTTTCAGTCAATGTAAGTGGTAGTTGACAGCCTAGCTTGTACATAAATGTATGCCACAAGCATGCAGCTATGCTGCAAGGTACCAAAGTTTAAAATGTCTGGGATTTGCCTAACCCTCACTTATGTTTCTGTCTTTTTTTTTCACTTCTCTTGCTTTTCAGATGCCTCAAGAGTGCAGCCGTTTCAGTGGCTTCCAGAAGCCACCCCTGCTTCCTCACCGAATGGTCCACACAAGCACGTGCGCTCTGTTTCACATGACTCTTACTTTGAGCGGGGCGGCCTGGACATGTCCCTGGATGATGTACATGCCACGTTTGGACTCGGTTCTCAATATGGCGGTGCTCGAGTTGACAGGGTAGCAAACAGCCAGACTGCCCCACCAGTTGGCGCACACAAGTCACCTCGTAAGCAGAAGCTTTGTTCCGACAGTGGTGACGGCGCCAGCCCCAAGGTGCAACGGCTCAGCGATTGTTCACAGGCCCCAACATTCCACTCTAGTCAGGAAGCCACTGTAGAATCCACGTGTACCAACATGGACACGGCTCCTTCTGGCCACCATGCCTCCTCTCATCCCAGCTTCCAACATTTGCGACAGCTTCCGACGAACAGGCAGCGGACTGTTCGACAGCGATCGAGTCGCTCCTTGACCTCCTACACGAGCCGACAACCAATGGCTGTACACAGCCCTGACGATATTGAACCATACACGTCTCCATCTCCACAAGAATTCTCACAGCCACCAGGCCACTTTGGAAATGTTGACGTTCCCCCACCTAACCTCGGCAATGAAAAGATGGTCCTGGTAGAGGTTCATTCTGTCGAAGAAGGTGGCGACTCAACCCAAGAAATTATTGGCGGTGGACTTGTCTTTCATCGCCCTTTTAGTTGAAGATGTGGGTGAGACAGGACGGTCGGTGCGAGAGCACAGGTGGTTCAACCGACTTCGACGAATCCGAAAGCAACTTGGGGACAAGTTTGTCCCTTGCCGAGGACATAGCAACTTCGCTCAAAATGAGCTGCTGCCAGTTTGACACTGACTTCCTGGTTGGTGACACTCGTGCGGCAAGCCTCGAAACAAGCTTTCTTAACCGTATGAGTGCTTCGCTTCCGTACATTGAAGACACTGACACATCAGCATCACCCTTGTCGTCACCTTGTGCTGGATGCGAGCTGCTTCCTCAAGACATGTCAACCACAAGATCAACACCATCGCCAGTCGATGTGCAGCAGAGCGATGCTTGTGACGTCAACAGCAGTGACCACATGAGCTCGTCCTTAGTGGCGGCTTCAGTTGTGGACGAGAGTCTCGAAACCCCTGTGTCTGTGATGCCAGAGGACGATGGCCTTCGGACGTTTTCGGACAGTGAACTGCATGGCCTGTGTGAAGGTGTTGACATGGTTCAGAGAGTCGAGGCCGTTAAACAGCAGCGTTGTTCCTGCTGGTGAAGGGGGTGATGGACAGAGTTCCTCTTCAGATGACGAGGAGGATAACGAGGAAGCTATGCCATACTCTTACTTAGATGAAAGCCCGTTGTTGAGTGATGCTTGTGGTGGCATGCTGCATTCTCAAAGCCAGGATCAGAACCTTTGTCTTCTCTACTCCTCAGGAGCCTACAGCTGTTGAGGAGGGGAGAGAGGTTCTACGTCCAGCTGACATGAGTGATATGGCCCACGAAATGCTGGCCTCATCTGAAGAATGCAGGATGCAGGTAGAGCCTTGCGTTATGGAACCAGCACCAATGTTATGCGACACTGGTGCAGACACAGGGGGGCAAGCAGAGCCTGGGAATATGGTAGACACACTATTAGATTTTAGTAGCGACTGCACTGAAGGACCAAAAAATATATGTGATCAGGGCTCACCTGACAATGGAAAGAATTCTCTACTTAATTCTAGTCCTGAAATATCACTTAATTCTACTTTCTTACCTGGCCAGTGACCTTGTGGAAGGCGCTAATGTGGAAAGTGCCACTGCCTATGATTTGTCGAAGCACATCAGTACCACTGACATTGACAAGACTAATTCATTTAATCAAGGAACTGTAGCCTCTGAAGAATTAGCTCTGGAACTTCAGCGCAATGAATGTGACAGGGGTAATAACAAACGGGAAGTAGCACCGCTTGATCCTGTTAGTAAGGTGAACTGTTGATTTCACTGCATCAAATGAGTCAAAACAACTCATTGACTTCAGTGATGATGAGGTGCAGCTCAGGTCATCACCACGACAAGCAAGAGTGGTTGAAGCAAAACGAAAGTCTGAAATGGCCAAATCCAACGGTGCAGTTGTAGATACTGACAGGAAGCGCTTATCTGAACCACCCCACTATTCACGTTCTGAGAAACGAGGCTCTGTAAAGGAACTCATGTCAAAGTTTGAATCGGGTGATGCGCATGGCACTGCAGACTTAAGTCCCTCAAAAACTTGCCAGCCAAGCCTCTTTACACAGCTCAAGGTTATGCGGCTCCAGTCACTTAAAAACCCATCATCTCCCTCTGCCAATTACGATCCATGGTCCGACCCTATTCTAGACCAAGAGGATCAAGAGGAGATACTGTGCTGCACAGAGGAAATTTCCAGTGCCAGCACAGTGCCCACAAGTAACACCCTTCATGAAGATGTGGGACCAAAACACACAGCTCGGCCTTTAGCTTCACTACCACAGGCCACTAGCACTGCCGCGGACATTGTTTTGGATGTTACTGTAACAGATAGCACAAGACCTTCCACGCTTGAATTGCGGAAGGTCAACGTACCTACTCAGGCCGTTGAGCCACAGAGAACTGACCCCGTCATGACCAAGCCTGAAGCAACGCGTAGCACTTCAGTGCCGATGATTGAAAGCGACGTAATGAGTCGTAAGCGCATCGAGAAAATAAAAGAAGAGCGCCGGGCTCAACTGCGGGAGAAGCTCAAGTCCGAGGGGTGCCGCTCTCACTCAGACGAGGCAGTCGCAACCAAAACAGAAGTGAAGCTCAGGCGGACTTCGGAAGATGTCGCACTGTGGAATGTGGATGTTGTCCCGCTTCGGCAAGTGAATCGTGAGAATGATAGACACCAGCTGTCCAGTGTCAGGAGCTGGCCAAAGCAGACAACCCCGGGGGACCAGAGGAGACGGGACAGCACAAAGCAAGCCAGCATTGACGTCGTAGACAAGAAGCCACCACCTGGCAGAACCTCGCCTGTCAAGACGTCTCCCGCTAAGAGTTCACCGACAAAGGCATCGCCCCTTCAAGTCATCACCTGTCAAGTCACAACCCACGAGGTCACCGGCCCAGCAAGCAGAAACCATCATGCGAAAGCAGGACCTTTCCCCGCCAAAACGGATTCGCGACAGAGCGGCCATGTTTGAGTGCCGCAGCCAGAAGGAGCAGGCACGTCCCGTCGCCTCAGCGACTTGCTCGTGCAGATCTTTCTTCGTTCTAAAAAACTGACCATCATTCCAAAGCGCCTGCTGCATGTTGCTTTTCAGGAGTTTTTTTTATTTTTTTATTGGTATTCACCTTCTATCGGGTGAAAAAGTACCTTCATTTATAGGTTCCCTCAGTGTTTTCGCGAGTGAGTGTGGAGGAGAGTGTTTGGTGCTACTTTGCTGCAGTCTTGTTCTGCATGTATATTGTGGGGCACCGTCTTGTTATTATTGTGAGCATTGACAGCATTTGGCAAAACAATTTTCTTTGCTAGAGAGTGGATGATGGAAATGGTGTTGTGCATGGTCATTATTGACGAACAAAAATTAGGGACCCTTCCATTGTGCGCAAACCTTTGCTAGTTTTTCGCTAAGTACTTGAACATCCTACCTGTCTTGCAAACGTAAAACAGCTTCCATCTGAAAAGCCAAAGTATGCGTAGTGACAAAAGCAGGGAGTGAGAACTTCCTACTTTTACCTTTAGGGAGTTAGCTTTTTTTATTTTTAAGGAGTTCATTTCGTTTTTTTTTTTTTTTACTTTTATTGAATGCTGTGTACATACTTGTTGCTGGTTTTTATGCTGTAATAAGATTTATAAATATATATATATATATATTATAGATATATACATATGAACATTATGAGAAAAAAATATATATGTATGTGGCATCATCATAACAATGTGCTTGTGGCCTGCTTTCTTTTATAAGCAATATTTATGCATAATTCAAATGCAAATCATTGTAGTGTCTTGGGGCGCCATTGAGTATGGGAGAGGAAGAGTTCTCCATTACCGATATATGGGAGCAAATGCGTACGTTGACATTGTCATGCAGTTTGCATGAACAAGTAAAGTTAAATAAAAGGCTCTGCAGATTAGTTTGTAGCAGTGACGAAAATGTAGTACTGTCTTTATTACATGTGAATGCGGAGTGCAGTACTGGCATTCTTTTGCTGACGCTGCATTCCTAAGGCTGGATAGAAAAATTCTAGTCCTATGGTGAATGAAAAAATTTTCTGGCAGATTAATGGCTTGGGCTTCGATCTCTCATGTCACACTAAGGCCTTGCCTCTCTACTGCTTCACGGTCCTGCTAGACTGCTTAGAATTGATAAACAAGCTTGGAGCTGTGCAAAGTGGCTTCTAACCTTGCCAAGAAAACATTGGGGCTGATAGGTTTAGTTTTAGCCATGCACTTTCAGAGTGTGTGTGCCAAAACTTTGTTTACCGTTGTTTATTAGGCACTCAAGAGGTAGCATGCCACCTTCACTGTAACAGCTGCATGTGGCGACTTGAGCTCCTTGACCTAGACTTCGAGGACGTGTTAAGGGATTCTGGAAAACCGCTTTGTGTGAGGCGATCTATTGGTTTACAAAAAGTGCAGCTTACTTGTGGTGCAGTAGCAGGTGAGGGCATTCTTGAGGGCTCGCTTGACGATTCTGAAATGAGCCGAGGAAAATGGCAATAGTAGCTACTTCTTCGAACGCGACGCTCGCGCCCAGCAAGTGTGGCTTTGGTTGAAGTGGATATCGAGCTGAACTTTGATCTGGGCTAGTTGGTAAGTTCTTAGCTGGGCAAAAAGCAGCACAAGAAAAACAAGGACACAGTACACATGGAGATTGAGGTCGAGAAAAAGTATACAAGTGTCGACTGGAATTTCTTTCGTGAAAGGGACATCTTGGAAGATCGACGGGCAGGCACTGAAGATTCGCTCTGCATGTGTGGGTGAGGCTTCTAAACTTGCACTGAATATTACCAAGAAGTTGTCCATGTAGCAAAACACATGTTAATTCAACAGTGATGAGGTGATCCAAAAGGTTTTCATCGTGGTGAGCAATTAGTAAGTCACCGAGAATAGCGGCGATACGAGAAGGAGTACACTCCTCTTTCTTATTGGGCAAACGTATAAGCATTGTACTTGGCAACCATGCACGAAGGCAAACACGTAGCAAGTGAATTTATGTGACTGCAGGCACTGGTCCCTGTGGCGTTTTGGAAGTGAATGATGCCTAGCTTGTCTATCCTGTACCAGCTTTGGGAGGAGGAGGAAAAACTTTATTAGACCAAGGGATTTGGGCACTTACGTCCCAGGGTCCCCGCATGACCCCACTGCGCTATGTGTTCATGAGTTCTTGCAGTTCCATGACGTGGGCGGCCCGGTCAGTGGCGATTTTCTGCTTGGCCGGGTCCGTCGAGCGCAGCAAGGTCTCCCATTCCTCCCATGTGGTCAGTGGTTCCGGGCCCCGCGGGGGAGGGTCCGCCGGGCATTCCATGAGAATGTGGGTAAGGGTAGCGTGGGGGTGAGTGCATTGAGCACAGGACGGGGCGTACGCTCCCGGGTAAATGCGGGAAAGAAAATAGGGGGAGGGAAGGGTGCGGGCCTGAGGGCGATGCATAATATTTGGTGAAAATTTTTGAGGGATCGGTGGGGTGGTGGGTATAGCTGGCGTTCGGCGCGATATGACTGGGTGATCTCGTTGAACAAATGCATGCGCTCCCTGGAAGAGCCCTACTCCGATTCCGCCGCCGCCCGGTTGATGAGACCTCGGGCGTGGTCATTGGCGGCTTCGTTGCCGGGATCCCCAGAGTGCGCAGGCACCCAGATCAGCTCCACATGGCGGGCCGGGTTTTTGGTGGGCGAGCTGAGAATTCTGAAAGCGCTCTCGTGGACTCGTCCTCGCGCGAAATTTAGGATCGCGGTTTTCGAGTCGGAAAGGACGTACCGGGCATCAGTGTGTGCGAGGGCAAGCGCGATCGCCGCTTCTTCCGAGGATTCCGGGGTGGATGCAGGAGGAAGGTGGAGAGTTGCAATGGGTTGGAGTGTGCGATCAACGACTGCAACTGCCGCGTCGTCGCCCGTGCAAGCAGCATCCACCCATACGGCGTCCTCTTCAGAACCGTAGTATTTGTGGAGAGCTTTTGCACGGGCCTTGCGGTGGGCCGAATGGTAGGTAACATGGGTGTTTCTTGGGAGAGGTTTAACTATAGTCTGAGTGTGTATGGGTCGGGGGATTGGTAGAAGTGTGGGGTCGGCTGCTGGTATGTGAATATTGAGGGTGTTAAGTATGTAGCGTCCGGAGAAAATCTGAGCTAAACGAGTGCATTGCGCTCGTCTGTGGGCCTCAGTGAGTTCGTGTGTGGTGTTATGGAGCCCAAGCTGAAGAAGTTTAGTGGTCTGTGTGTTAGGGGGGAGGTGTAAGGCCACCTTGTAGGCTTTACGAAGCTTGGCATCCAGGGTGGCTATTTCTTCTTGTCGAAGTCGGGAATACGGGATTGTATAAAGGAAGCGGCTCAGTATGAAGGCATAAATGAGACGACATAAATCGTGTTCCTTCATGCCATAGTGTTTTCCAGAAACTCTGCGGACGAGGTGCGAGAGCGCATCCGTCACCCGCTTGAGTTTCCGGATAGTGAAAGTGTTACGGCCGTTATTTTGGATGTGAAGGCCCAAGATTCGGATTGTGTCGACCTCTCCCTATCGGAAAAATTGCCATGGTGGATACTGGAAAACATGGTGGGCGTAGTGGAAATAATAGTGGGCATGGTGGAAATAATAGTGGGCATGGTGGAAATTATGATGGCCATGGTGGGACGTAGTGGAAAATATGGTGGTTATGCCGCGACATACTGGGTGGTATGGTGTACAGATGATGGGTAAAGTGAAAATGATGGTGGAAAGCAGAGGCTAGATAGTGGGCAATAACGGGACACTCTGCCCACCATTGCGATAATGCTGGGAAGCCCTAAGTATATGGTGGGTGCTGCTTATTATGGTGGGCTACATGGTGTACCAAGCTGAGCAACTCTTCCCACCATTGCGATAATGCCGGGAAGCACTAAGCAGATGATGGGTGCTGCTTGTTATAGTGGGCCACATGGTGTACCAAGCTGAGAAGCTCTGCCCACCATTGCGATAAAGCTGGGAAGCAGTAAGCAGATGATGGGTGGGCTTATAATGGCGGGCAATTTATATAGTGTACCAAGCTGGGATCTGTACACTACATGTTCTACCACCATGATTTCCACCAAAGGTTAGGCCTACTGACCGAGCCCGTACAATTGTGTTGTCCGTGCTTCCGGGTTTCAGAATACACGATTACGACGACTAAGTAGGACAATACAGCGCAGCCATATGGCATCAATTAACCTGAACGAAGCATTTTTCATTGCCTATGGTGTCCGCTCAAGAAGCAACAAACATCGATGCGACGCGATTAAAGCCCTCCCAGAGAATGTAATTAAGTGTCTTCTCACCGACAGCCGCCGGTCGCACTCGCCGGCACTTCTCTAGCTTTTGTACGAGAACTCAGACGTGGCAATTCGGGTGCTTGGTGAACCATTATGATAGCGTAATGTTTCCGGCAAACTGCATTCGTTTTGGCCAAGCCGTTATGTAGTTGTTGCTTTAGCGAAAGAGCTACAGCATTGCGCTGGCGCGACCGCCCTCTACATTGCGCGAAAAGCATCCCAATACTCAATCAAATAAATTAATGGCGGGCGTATCTATGGAATGAGCCTAGAAGCATCATAAAGCGTGAGCAGATGTCGCCCTTTAGAACGAGCGCGAAACGGATAATAAACTTGGCAGACCCCGCCGGTTAACTGTTGCTGCTCCCCAGTCCACTTGGTTTTTTTTTCTTGAAGTTGTGAATTGTAAAAAAAAAATAGCACTAGTGCCATTAACATAGTGGCAATCGTTAGAGGCCGCAGTTGCTTGTGTTTAATAAATGTGCAATTTTTAGTAGCAGGTGTAGATGTTGTATATGTTGTGTACACGACAAACATAACTCAAGTTGAACCTTAAGTTTCTTTGCCAACTAAGTGTTTAACACTCAATCAACGTCATGTTGGTGTGGCGCAGTGGTTAGCGTCTTCATATGGGAATCCGCTGGTTGGAGGTTCGATCCTCCGTGGCGCCTCGTTTTTTCTTTTTTTTACGGGACGGGTGTTTTTTTACCGTTTTTATAGAATTCTTTTTTATTTTTTGTGGCAGCTCGTCACGGTGATTCTGACGTCATTTCGCGCTCAAGTGTTGCCAGCACAGCAGCACCCACCATACCCACCATGCGCCATGGTGCGCGTTTCCCACCATTCACCCACTACATTAATCCACTATAATGGTGGGTGGTGGTTTCCACCATGCCCACCATTCGTTTTTTTTCCGATAGGGCTGGGATAGAGCGCCCGTCCAGAGTATCAGTGATGGGGCAGTGGGAAGAGTACGTGGTGAAGGGCGTATGAGAAGCAGCTCAGATTTTTCCGGGGAACAGGAGAGACCAATGCTTTGTGCGTGTTGTTGTGTAATGTTTGCGGCGGTTTGTAAGGTTTCCTCTATGTCGCCATCACTACCGTGGGTTGTCCACAGTGTGATGTCGTCTGCATAGAGGGTGTGGTGAAGGTGAGGAATATTGTGAAGAGCGCGGGCTAACGGAATGAGTGTGGCATTGAAGAGAAAAGGAGAAAGGACCGAACCTTGCGGAGTGCCTACACCACTGAGGGTATATGGAGGGGACGCATGGGGGCCCATATGAACCTCGGCCGTGCGTCCTGATAGGAAGGCTTGTATGTAGGCGTACATGCGAACGCCCACATTGAGGGGGGAGAGAGCCGCCATGATCGCTCGGTGTTCTACTCGATCAAAGGCCTTGGTTAAGTCTAGGGCCAAGACTGCTTTAGTATGAGCGTGGATGAGAGGATCAAGAATGCCGTGCGTCATTTGAAGCATGGCATCTTGGGCGGAGAGACACGGGCGGAAGCCCACCATGCTGTGCGGGTATAGGTTGTGGTCGTGCATGTGTTGAGTCAGTCTGTTTAATGCAACGTGCTCGAGAAGCTTCCCGAGACACGATGTGAGTGAAATGGGGCGGAGGTTTGATATGGTAAGGGGTTTGTTAGGTTT